ACGTGACACATGAGTTCTGACAGAGGGAGACGGGCCGAACAGGACGAGGCGGCGCACTGACTGTGTATAATGAGATGAACCAGGAGCGGGGGACCGAGTAATGTTGCCCGACGAAGGCGGAGCTGACGGGGTCAACGGGCCGCCGCCTGCACCATTTTCATATGTGTTGAAAACCCTGCCTGCTACTTTGTGTGTGTGTGTGTGTGTGTGTTTGCGCGCTGCGAGCGCCAGAGACTGACAGCCCGTGGCGGTGAGAGCACAGAAAGAGCGTGTTTGTGTGTGTGTGTGTGTGCTGCTTGAGATGTGTCATGTCTGTGATAAAGTCACACTGATCCGTCAATCCCACCGTGCCCTGGGAGTGTGCTTGTGGCTGTGCACGTCAGACGCAGCTACAGGGGTTGTCACGAATCAATCTTAGCCATCTTGGGTCATCACATGCTGTATAAGGGGCGTGTGTGCAAGCGGCAACACACACACACACACACGCCTTTAAGGTTTGACTGCTAGTCACTGGAAAAATACAGTTTTTATTTTCGCTGGACGAACCAAAGTACCAAAAATGTCTTGTTTTTAAACTTTGTGTCCAACAGGACACCCGTCTCCCCGGGGCCCTCTTTGACCTGTGACCTGCGCCACGAGGGCTCATGGGAAACGCAGCGTCGGGGACGTCGCTGCAGGAGCAGCAGATGCGAGCCGGCGTGTGCGGACGCGCGCGCGCACACACACAGCCAATCACGAGCACTCACTCAAACAGCAGACGAGCGACAGCATGCCCATCGCTGCGTCTGCGGGCGTGTGTGTGATGTGATGTGTGGGTGCGCGTTTGTGTGTCCCTGAGTGAGTGCGCGAGTGGAATGCTCATGCAAATGCATGCTGTGATTCGCTGAGACCTGCCAAGCGAAGACCTCCTGCTGTGCTCTCAATATAACCTGAATCTGACTGTGTGGGAGTGTGTGCGTTTGTGTGTTGTAGTTCTAGTATAATCAACTCTTCCACTGTTCCCCATCAGCTTTTTCTGTTCCCTTGTGTTGTCAACTGTAATATCTCCCCCCCCGCATCCCCCCTACTTCCACACTGAACTCCGGTCTCCCATGTCATAAGATGCTGTCTGTCAGCTTTGCTCCATCAGCCGAGCAGAAGCTACCTCAATTGTTTTCATATGAATATACTGTGTTATTTTTTTTGTCAGTCAAGGACGCTGGTGAATATCAGGAACTGCTTTGCAGTTAAACAGACGTTTGTACATTTCATTCCACTACATTTACAGTTACATTATTATACATTAAAAAATGCAATGAGCAGGTACTTGAGCAGGGTCTGAATGTCCTCGCTTACTTTGAACGTTGGTGTGTTACAAAGTGTGGATACTCACTCTCTACTGACAGCGTGATGGGCTGGCTGGTCTTGTTCTCTCCGTTCTTGTCGTTCACCGCTTGGACGTAGTAGCGGCCGGCGTCTGGCGCCACCATGGACAGTATGACCAGCGTGTTGTCCAGTGTGATGGCACTGAGGAGCCAACCGGAGATTTTTAAATTGAGCGTTTTAAGAAAACGGGCGAAGTGGAAGATAAAGGGGAAGCCGAGGTAGGTGTGAGGAATCCAGCATGAACGAGTAAAAAAAAACCTTGCGCTTATTCCGAGAAAGCTTCATGAAAAATACACAATTCACTTCCGGCGCTTCCGAGGAAGCATCCGCCTGCCTAATTGGAGCTAAATGTGTTTGCAGTCTGCGTTAATCGGCAAAGGGCATTAAACGTTTTAACATTTTAATTACACTGTTCAGGCTGCATTAGTTGCATTGATTTACAATGTGTAAACATGGCGTTGGTGCTGACTGGGCACGGCAGAAATTATTGACAAGCTCCCCTTGTTCACACATCTCCTCACGGCGCACTCTGAAATATGACTGCCCTACATAGTAACCCACGGCTTCTAATTGGCTCTTTGTACCCCCGCTGCTTGCAGTGGTCTGCACTTCAGCGGCCCCCCCGCTTTTGGCAGGACGCAATGGAGTCTTTCTTTGACGGCTGCTGAATTAAAACAATCAAAAACACTAATAAACGTTTTCATTGTTTTTGGGGCGAATACCCGGGGCTACAACGTTCTCCCTCGGACTCTCCCTCGTCAACATGGCAACCGGAGGGAGAGGAGTCGTCCTCCCTCCCCTGTGCCGCCTGATGT